CTATGTCTCAGGGACAGTAGTCTTCTCTCTTGCTGTGCCTTGCCTTTTTCTGGTCCCTTTAATGGGACTAGGCAGTAGGCTGCCTAGTAAATGAGTAGACCTCTAGTCTCTGGTCCAGCTTCCTTGTGAAGGACTCTGGGTCTTGGGTCAGGTACACACACCCCTGAAGCATTTGACAGTGGCCAGCAGAATGGGGTCAGATTATTCAAACCCAGGAATTCTCAGCTCCCAAACAAAGAATATGGTATCTCACTGAGAGAGGCAGGGTATCAACTTTTCTCATCCCCTCCAACTCCAAGTTGAAGAGGCTAAGTTCTTGGTGAGTATGGCAAAGAGGTCAGAGGCTCCATTCTTCTACCCAGCTCCATACTACACTCATAGTCTAGAAGATCTATCCCAGATACTTAAGGCCAAGAATGCTATGGCTCCAATTGCCCTTCTCCCTGCTCACTTGTATATAGAGGTTCCACACCAGGAGAGGCAAGCCCAGAAGACTAGAGGATAGTGACCATGATAAGTGTAGTGGCTCAGAGAATTTGCCCAAGGGGAAAGGCAGTTGGTAAGAACAGAGTGTGGAGAAGTTCAAACATAAGAGCATTCTCCAAAACAGTGGAGATTTTGATGGTAAGCAAATAAAAGGAGACCCCTAGCTCTTCTTAATTGAGAACAAACCAAACCATAGGCCAGCTAGTTCACCAGAGAACCAGGGAATGAGAAAGCTAATGAAGTCAGAGCAAACCTCAGTCTCAAAAACTGCCCCTTCCTGAATTCAAATGAATTAGATTTTGGAGCAGTTTATGCCACAGAGCATTGTCCAAAACAGAAGACAATTCAGACAGCAATTAGTGGAGCCTGACAGCTGGGTATCGTACCAGAAGAGGCCAAAAGCTTAACAGATCATGGAAAAAGCCAAAGAGAGTCCTGCTAAATGCATCCCAGGGAAACTGTGCATGCCCAGGGCTGCACTCAGAGGCACAACATCAAAGGCTTCACCAGTCTACAGGGGAAATAGACATTACTAAAATAGTTTAGCCAAGTCATTAAACAAATAAGCAAACAGCAAACTCTGAAAGGAGGAAGGAGAATCAGTAGTCAGAGTTGCTACAATATGTTACCAAAAATGTCCAGTTTTTAATAAAAATTATGAGACACAGAAACTGAAAGGTGTGACCCATACACAAGAAAAAGCAGGCAATAGATATTGCCCATGAGAAGGCCCAGATACCAGATTTAACAGTGACTTTAAAGCAGCCATTATAAATATGATCAAAAGAACTTAAACTATGCTTAAAGAAGTAAAGGAAGCTATGATGATAATGTCTCATCAAATAGAGCATAACAATAACAGGAAAAAGATAGGAAATATGAAAAAGAGCCAAATGGAAGTTCTGGAGTTGAAGAGTATCGTAATTAAAATGAAAAATTGACTAGAAGGACTCAACAGTAGATTTGAACTGGCAGAAGAAAGAATTGACAAACTTAAAGATAGATCAACAGATAAAGCATTTTAAAGAACAGAGGGAAGAAAGAATAAAGAAAAATGTACAGAGCCTTAGAATAATGTGGCACACTGTTAAGCACACAAAGATAGGCATTATGGGAGTACCAGAAGAAGATAAGAGAGAGAAAGGAGCACAAAAAATAAATAATGTTGAAAACTTCCCAAATTTAATGAAAAACATTAATGTACATATCCAAGAAGCCCAAAGAATCCAAGTAGGAAAATTCAAAGAGATCTATATCCAGGCACATCACAGTGAAAATGCTAAAAGACAAAGAGAAAATGGTGAAAGTAGCAAGAGAAAAATGGCTCATCATGCCCAAGCGTATCCCAATAAGAGCAACAACGGACTTCTCACTAGTAACGAGGCCAGGCCAGGTGCAGTGGCTCATGCCTATAATCCTCACACTCTGGGAGTCCAAGGCAGGAGGATTACTTGAGGTCAGGAATTCCAAACCAGCCTGAGCAAGGGTGAGACCCTGTCTCTAGTAAAAATAGAAAATATTAGCCACATGTGGTGGCATGAGCCTGCAGTCCCAGCTACTCAGGAGGCTTGAGGCAGGAGAATCCCTTGAGCCCAAGAGTTCACAGTTGCTGTGAGTTAGGCTGATGCCACAGCACTCTAGCCCAGGCAACAGAGTGAGACTCTGTCTCAAAATAATAAAAAAAAAAAAACAAACAGAGCCAGAAGACAATGGGGTAACATATTCAAACTGCTAAAAGAAAAAAATACTCAACCAAGAATCTTATGTCTTGCAAAACTATCTTTCAAAAATGAAAGTGAGGGCCAGGCCCAGTGCCTCAGGCAGGATGATTGCTTGAGGCCAGAAGTTCAAGACCATCCTGAGCAAGGGCGAGACCTTATCTTTACAAAAAGTAGAAAAATTAGCCAGGTGTGGTGGCGTGTGCCTGTAGTCCCAGCCACTTGGGAGGCTGAGGCAAGAGGTCACTTGAGCCCAGGAGTTTGAGGCTACGGATGATGCCACGGCACTCTAGCCCGGGCAACACAGTGAGACTCTGTCCCAAAAAAAAAAAAATCTCTCATTAAGGGCTCACAGGCCCCCAAAATATATCCGTAGACCTCTCTGTTAGAGACTCATTATGTTAGATTTTTGCTGTAATGCTTATGAGGACCTGGAGCTTATTTCCCTAGTCCTTATCTGTCCTAAGCCTCCATTTAGGCTGCTGGTTGGCAGATTTCTTCCTCTTGTTACTGAGCAGCCACCTAAAGGTTGCTGTTGCAGAGAAGAGGGTGTCCACATACACTGCAGTGGCCCTGAACTTCATTTCTGTCTTTCTGCTGCACTTTCCCTAGGACTTGCTTGTCATTGCCCAGGCAGAAGGAACACAAATGGCCCATTGTCTGTAGGAACACTTTGGAGATGTGTGCGGGCCCCAGAGAGACCCTTTGTGCCCTTTGATAAAAAGGCTTTGTTATTTTTCCAATAATTGTGAGCTCTAGCCAATGTGTGAGATGGGGGCCTCCAGGGTGGAAAATCCAGACTCCCTGGCAGTTTCAGCATCAGACTCTAGGATTCTCTTTCACAGCTTTTCCCACCTGCCCCCCATGCCCTCTTACTCCCTCTCATTCCTTTCTGTGTTGCCAAAAATGGCTATGGGTTCTTCCAAACATTATGGGTATCTTGCTGCAGCTTGAAATGGGGAGATAGACACCGGAAAGTAAGTGGAAACTCAGGCCTGGCATGGTGGCTCACACCTGTAATCCCAGCACTTTTGGAGGCTGAGGCAGGAGGATTGCTGGAGGCCAGGAGTTCAAAACGAGCTTAAGCAACATAGCAAGACCCCATCTATATAAATAAAAAGAAAGTGGAAACCCAAACTACTGGGAGAAGACATTTGCAGCTCATGTAACTAACAAAGGAGTGGTATTCAGAATTTATCAAGAATTCTTACAAAATCAGTGTGAAAAAGACAAATAGCCCAGTAGAAAAACGGGCAGTGATATGAACAAGCATTTCATAGAAGAGAAAGAAATGGTCCATAAATGTAAGAAAAGATGCTAAACTTCATTGATAATCAAGGGAATGTAAATCAGTACCACAATGAGGGAAGAGAGCAAATATTGGTCAGAATGTATATCAGTGGAAACATTTTTATACTGCTGATAATTTTTTATATCAGCAGAATATATTTATACTTTTTTTGTTGAGCATACACATACCTTGTACCCCAGCACCTAGGAAAGCTCTGCCCTGAGAGCTGAGGTATCAGCATTTTGCCATGAGTCACCTGTAACCTGTGTCTGGGCACACTCATGGGGAAATCAGTCCTGGAACAGTGATTCTTAGAAATGAAAACAGTAAACCAATTGAAACCAAATGGATTGTGACATCAATGCAGTGGGTCTACCAGCTGAATAGAACAGCAAAATGTATTGTGTAAGGATATCATTTGAGGAAGTTTTTGCTTCATATTTATATATGTATTCATGTGTTCCACATGTATGTTTACTGGGTTATTATTCTTGATCATTATTAGAACAGTTTGGAAGCCACTGCCCCAGCAAAACTTCTGCACATGTGCATCAAGAGATACATAAGAATGTTCATAACATCACTGTTTCAGAGCAAAAAACAAACCAAGTCTCTGATCCATCAACAGGAGAAGGGATGAATGTACTCTCTTCACACAATGGAATATTACAAAGTAGAAATGAA